ACGGACTGTCCCTCTGGGGGTCCACAAGGTACTGTAATAGTGAACAATGGAAAGAAAAGTGTGTGGTACCTTCTCAAGTGACATTAAATGTGACTTTCTAGAGGATGGAGAGGGCAGCGAATGAGCCTTCTGTTCACTCTTTCTTCTGAGGTCTCTAACCTTAGGATTTAACTATGCACACTGACAGCAGCAGGCATAAAAAGGAAATTCAAGAAATAGCAAGAATGTCCCTGGAAGGTGCAGTCTACCTTTGTGTCACTGACATGAAACAACCTTGTGCTCCCCTTTGGCAGAAAAGAATGTCATACATTTCTTGTAGGAAATCCTCACTTCTCCTAGTGCTGCTTATAGCCCTTGGTAGAGTGATCTATCACTGAGCATTTCTTTCAAATATCCATCAACATCTTGAGAATGCAGTCACTTTTTTTCTTTTTTGTATTATTCTATTTTATTAAAATATATTCATGTAGGGTTCCGCCACCTGCCTTGTAAGCACAAGGACCTGAGTTCAATCCCTGGTACAAAAAAAAAAAAAAGAAAGAAAAGAAAAAATCCTAAAATATATTCATGTAGGGTTCCGCCCCCTGCCTTGTAAGCACACGGACCTGAGTTCAATCCCTGGTACAAAAAAAAAAAAAGAAAGAAAAGAAAAAATCCTAAAATATATTCATGTAGGGTTCCGCCCCCTGCCTTGTAAGCACACGGACCTGAGTTCAATCCCTGGTACAAAAAAAAAAAAAGAAAGAAAAGAAAAAATCCTAAAATATATTCATGTAGGGTTCCGCCACCTGCCTTGTAAGCACAAGGACCTGAGTTCAATCCCTGGTACAAAAAAAAAAAAAAGAAAGAAAAGAAAAAATCCTAAAATATATTCATGTGATACGATATTTATTCAAATGCCTTAAAGCCACACACCCTAGCCACACACCTAGGCAGAAGAATGAGCCCTGTAAAAATCCAAAATTGTCTGAATCTTTCAAAAATATCATTTTAAGTTTATTGTCATAATGAGCCTGGCCATTTACTCTAAACAGACTACTAATAGTGACAGTAACGTGTGTATGATGGCCTTATCTGAGAAGAAGCACTGAAATCCTGGGTCCCAGAGCTTACGTCAAGCCATGCTTGTTCTCTGGAAACAGAGCTGTGCCCCGCCTTCCTCTCCCTTATCCTCTCCCTCTTTCTCCCTCCCTCTCTCCTATATACACACATATGTATGCCCCAAATTGCTGTCCATTGTTGCCATTTCACATAAAGTGCAAAAGTTTTATGTTCTTTCTACACTGACAGCCACAACTTCTTGTCTTCTGCCCCAGTTCTGGCCAGGTAGTTTTAACTGCTCTTAGCCTTTCTTGCGATATTTGAAGAGTGACTCATCTGACCAGTTATGTGCTAGCCAGCTTTCTTCACTGTGGAAAAATACCTGAGAAGAGCAAATTAAGGAGGAAAGATTTCAACCGATGGTCAGTTGGCTCTATTATTGCCGGGCCTGTGTTGAGGCAGAGCATCCTGGCAGAGACGGTGCCCAGAAGAGGCTGCTGACCTTGTGGCGGCGGGAGGCAGGAAGAGTGAGAGAGCAAGCGCTGGATGGTCTCCTCCCTCCTTTGTCTTTCTCCGCCCTGGCCCCCACCCTACTGGATGCTGTCGCTCACTCGCTTCAGGATGTGTCACCCCTCTCAGTTCTCTGACCCACGTGCCGGTTATCTTTGGAAACACCCACACAGACACACCCTGAAAGACCCTAAAGTGTGCTTTTCTAAATTCTTAGGTGTTTTTCAATCCAATCAAGTTGACCATCGAGATTAACCTTCACAAATGGTAAGGGACAATTAGAACACTTAAAGATGAATAAATCCTAACCTCTGTTTGGCTTCATTTATGCAACAAATTTTACATGTTTAGGTATTTGCTTTACTATCTATTAAGTAGATTAGCTTTTACTGAAACAAAATCCTTTTTCAAGGAAGCGTGGTTCTTTGATCAGAACCCTGGACCAGGAGCCAAGAGGTCTGGCTTTGCATTTCAGCTATGCTCACAAAGCTCTGCTAAACTTTCAGTCCTTAACCCCTAAAATGGAACATGGATTTCTAAGTCTCTTTTATGCTGGAAAAGCCTACCCTTGTTAGCATTGTGTTGATGTGGTATTTTTCCAAATAATCTAAGAAATGATTGGCCTGCTGTGAAAATATAGATAGAAGTACAATTAACTTCCTGGGCTGGCCTCAGTACCAAGCTAGTGACCTCTGTCCAATAATACAGAAGTAAACAACCCCTCTGCACGACCTTTTCTTCCTTGTGCTTCCCTCTGCTAAAGGATTATTCATCTTGTTGGTCTTTTCATGCAAACAGATTCATTAGTTCCTTGCTTCTTCTTACTTATCATCATTACAAAAAATACCCAAAGTCTGACAGTAAAGGGAGGCTGACTCCTCCCTGTAAGCTGCAGGATGAATATATTTCTTCACGAGTGTAGACAAACAGCTCCTAAAGGCACTGTTGTCTGACTGCTGGGGACGGTCATGCATCCCCTTTGGCCTCTTCCTTAATCGCTGGGGTCTGTGCTACAGCCACACCTGCTGCTCCATCACACCACCTACTGCCTTCCAAGCTTCGGAGCTGCCCTGCTCTCTGTTGAGAATATGCCATTCTCCAACCAAAGTGCATTAAACTCAGGACCTTGCACTTGCCAGACAGGAACAGCTCCACTGAGCTACAGCCCCAGTCTGGTACACTATTATCTTGACTATGAAGAATATGAATTTTTTTCTTATGTTTGATGATACCTATTCTGGCTGAAGTGAGATGGAATCTCAAAGTATATTTAATTGTAATTCCCTACTGGATACAGTCACTGAACATGTTTTCATGTAATTATTGACCATTGGTACTTCTTTTGAGCAATGTCTAAGAGTTCACTGGCCCAACTGAGTGGATTATTTCTTTTGGTGTGTTTTTTTGTTTTGTTTTTTGAGTTCTTTATATATTCTAGATTGTTAATCATCAGTCAAAAGAGTAACTAACAAAGAATTTTTCCCATTTTGTAGGCTGTGTCTTCACTCTTTCAGTCGATTCCTTTGTGGTACAGAAGCTTTTGAATTTGATGTGATTCGATTTGTTGATTCTTGACTGTACTATTGGATTCCTATTCAGTGAGACTTTACCTGTGCCTGTGGTTTCAAATGTTTCTTTTTTGTTGTTTCTGGCAGTTTCAAATTTTTGCTTTTAAAAATCTAGGTCTTTGATTCATTTTGATTCTACTTTAGTACAGGGTGAGAGATATGAGAGATATGGATCTAGTTTCAGTATTCTGCATATAGATATCAAATATTCCCAGCACCATTTGTATTGAGGCTATCTTTTCTGCAACAAATGCTTTTGGTCTCTGTCAAAAATCAACTATCTATAGGTACATGGGTTTATTTTGTGTGGCTTCTATTCTCTGTTGGTGTACATATCTATTTTTGTGCCAGAATCTTTTTTTTTTTTTGGAGGGGGTAGTATAATGTGAAATCTAGTATTGTGATTCTTCCAGAATTATTCTTTTCACTCTGGATTGATTTGTATGTTCTGCGTCTTTTCTGATTCCATAAGTATTTTAGGATTTTTTTACCCCTGAGATATGTTGTTGGTATTTTAATAGTGATTGGACTGAATCTGTAGATTGCCTTTGGTATTATGGCCATTTTCAACATATTACTTCTGCCAGTCCAGGAACAAGAGAAGACGAACTTTGTCTTGGTGAATAATAGTTTAATGTGCATTAAGTTATGTTTGCAAGTGTCTTATTGAGGATTTTTGAATATCCATGTTCAGCAAGGATAGTGTTCTATAGTTTTCTTTTCCTTTCTTTTTCTGTTTTGAAGTCCATATCTATTTTTGGTATGACAGTATTGCTGGCTTCATAGAATGAACTTAGTAGAGCATTGTTATTGATTTTCCTGAAGGCCTGGTGAAATTTAGCCGTAAATCTAAGGATTCCCAGGCTTTTCTTGGTTGTTAGAGTTTTTCTTACTGTATCAGTATTGTTTGTTATTGGTTTTTTTTTATATCTTCTATGTTCAATTTTGGTAGGTCATACATGTTTCAGAATTTATCTATTACTTTCAGATTTGCCAATTTATTGAAATATGTTTCCAAAATAAATTCTACTAATCCCATGAATTTTACCGTTGTCTGTGCTGATTTTGCCTTTTTATTTCTATTTTTGTTAATGTGAGCCTTTCTTTCTTTAGGTAAATTTGACCATTTATCCATTTTTTTATCTTTTAAAAAATCAAGTCCTTGATTCATAGATCCTTTGTATTGTTTTTTAGTCTCAATTTCATTAATATCTGCTCTTATCTTTATTATGTCTTTCTTTGTACTGATTTTTGGATTATCTTGTTATTGTTTATCAAAGAATTTGGGATTTTTTTTAAATTGGGATTTCTCTGTATTGGTAATGAAGGCACTCAGAGCTATAAACGTCCCTCTTAGAACTGTTTTTATCATGTCCAACAAATTCCAAGATCTTGTATTTCCATTATTGTTTGACTCTAGAAATTTTAAAAATTTTTTCCCGGCTTCTTCTGTGACTCACTGATCCTTCAAAAGTATAGTATTCAATATGCATGTGTTTGTATAATTTTTGTGGTTTCTTTGCCATTGATCTCTAGTCTCATTCTGTTGTGATCTGATAGCATGCATGAGATTATTTTTTTTATTTTGTATTTATTGAGACTTGCATTATGGCCTAGAACATGTTTGGAGAAAGTTCCATAGACTGCTGAAAAGAATGTGTATTCTCTTTCTCAACCATCTTTATATGTCTGTTAAGTCCATTTGATCTTTGGTATAGTTTGCTTTGATATTTCTTTATTTATTTTTTGTCTGATTGACTACTTGTTAGAGTGGAGTATTAAGGTCCTCCATTATGATTATATTGGGGTCTGTCTGCCTTTTTATATCAAATAGTATTTGTTCTATAAAATTGGGTGCATCGACATTTATATAAATTTACAAAAAATACATAGTGCATCATGAATTTGTTTGCCATCCTTGCCCAAGGGCCATGTTAAATTTTGTATCACTCAAATTTCATTATGTGTGCTGCTGAAGAAAGCACAACATGTCTTTTTAAAAACATATTAGGATAGGGGAGGGAGGAGGGGGTGAAGGGAGGGCTGGGGAATAGGGAAAAAATGAGAACCTAGATCTCTCTCATGTAAAGATACAAGATCCCAATGATGAATGGAACTGTACTGTATACTTAAAAAGTACCAATAAACTCAATAGAAAGGAAAAAAAACATATTAGGAACTTTACATGAATTAATGGAATAATCTCAGGTAGCTGTATCTGAAAGGGATCATGCAGGCTTTCAGTGAAATAGGTACTGTGGGAAAGAAATCTCTTAAAATCTCTGCCATAGTCCTGAGAATTTTTTTTGCTGTTCCATAAATGAATGCGTGATTATGGCTTGTGAAAAGCAAGCCTCTTTCTGACTTAGAGAAATCATACTTTTTTTTTGTCCAAAGTAGTAAACTCTGATTTAAAATACTAAACTAGAGATTTTTTTGTAATATTACATGTATATTTTCCTTCCACCGCTTAGCAGACTTTTCCGAGAATGAGTCACCCCTGTACAGAATAACATTAAGCTGGTTTCTCAGTGGGGAAAAATAGATACCCCAAGTAGAAGAGGGAACATTTTGCTTTTGAGGCCTCCCTGCTCGAGAGTCTATGAGAAACAAATTACATTTCCCAGGGTTTTATCTAATTGTTAATAACATATTGGCTTGGGGAAATAAGACGTTGAGAAAGAAGTGCATGTTAATAACTAGAGATCTCCATTTTTTTAAAAAAGCGTTCTTTTCGGATTGCAATCAGAACATAGGTATCATTTAAGTAAAGCCTAGCATGAGGAATTTTCTCATATTCTGCAGATTTTCTGCTAAAGAAATTAGAGGCTTTGCATTCTGATAGCTCCACCCTCTTCCCTTGGGGTTCTTGGTTGAGATTTAATGCAGAGACCTCACAATGTTCATTCCGATTATCCAGTAATCCCTAATGTTACCACAATTGTTTGGGCGTGAGAGCTAGAAGTCACAGGCTCTCCTAGCTTGAAATTAGAGAAGATACGCAGAGAAAAAAACACACAAGTAAAATCAGAGCAAGTGCAAGGAAACAAAAGATAAAAATCTCTCTCCATAGAGCTATGTGCTTTAGGAAGAAGTGCTGCTGAGGCGACACATGGAGGAAGCTGTTGCCTTTTGCTGCTTAGCTGACATCCTTAGTTGTGCTCTGATGATCGGTCCTTGCAAAGCTTGATTTCCCCTGAAACAGTAGAGGGCGCTATGCTGACATAATTGAAGAGATGCTAAATTTCTGTCCATGGTCAGAATAGAATCAGTCTCCCCTCCCCTCCCTCCTGCTCTCCTCTTCCTCTTCCTTATGGTATTTTGAAGTATTTGCCACACGCCAAGTGTTTGGGAAGGTTTAACAAATTGTAAATGGAAGACTAAATCTTAACCTCAAGATTGAGACTTCAATCTGTCTGAAAGGAGAGGGTAAAATTTTGAGCATAGTAATTCCTTCCGTTAGAGAAGACTTCTGATGAATGATGAGGTAATGCCTGTAATTTCATTCCCTTTTTTTTTCTTTTTGCTATTTGAGTAGTTCATGTATTCAGTAACAGTTGAAATGTTACTCATAAAGATTTGGAATATATTTGACAAGAATACTCCATATGTCTTTAGAATCATACAGTTCAGAGCAGGTCAGCCTTTGAAACCATTAAGTACAATTTGTGTGTTTTCACAAAAGGAGACAGTAGCACTAAGAATTTGCCCAAACTTCCCAGCTATATTACTGGCAATGCCAGGACTAGAACCCGGTGTCCATACTCCTGGTCCAACGAGTTGTTTCACAATCTTGCGTTGAGTTTCAACATTTTGTATGTTCTTAGTATATGTTCATAACATATGCATTTATAGAGCATTTTAGTTTTCAAAACAGTGCATTTACATTATCTCATAGTTGCATACCAAAATGCCCTTTGAAAATATATTATTCATTGATTTTTCTCAAAGAAGATGCGCCCCATTTTCTGATGGGCTAAGAGAGAAGAAGTTCAAGTCTTTCGGCAGTTCTGTTTACAGCTTTGTGTCCATTTACATCTCGTCCATCAAGTTCCCTTCATTTCAGGCCTCTTTTTCCTGCCTGTAGACTCCCTTCTTCGTGACTGATTTCACTATTTTATGTGAACAGGAGAGTAAAGTTCAGCCGACTCAGACTGAGGGACCTTGGCCAGATTAATGGGCTGTGTACCACCTTCTTCATTTGAGCTCTGGAAGAGAGATGGTGTGAGGAAAAAGGGCCTGGCTGGCACCTTGGATGCTCCACAGAAAGGTGAAGAGTTCAGTAGCCTAGAGAAGTCCTAGCCCGAGACCTGCAGAGCACCGGTGTTACCTAAATGTGGTGTGGTGCGTCTCTTCCACATAATGTCTCTGCACCCCTCTTAGCACACATTCTCTAATGCAGTTAAATGGAAAGACGATGTATGGGCAGCTATTTGGAGACTTCATTGGAAATTAAGCCAGTCGCCCCTAAGGGTATGTCACGTCAATGCTACTGTGAATGTCTGTCCTGCTTTCCTAGATGACTAAAGGTAAGAGTATGGTCACTTCAAGTTTGCACAATAGCATTAAACATGGAAGCAAGTCTTAGGATACAGGAAGTATCTGACCCAGGAAGCCTCAGCAGGAACCTGAGAATTGCCTCTCTGAGAAGCAGAGGTGGAGAGAGTTGAACTTTCAAGAATCAGGCAAGACAGTGTGTTCAGTGTGTAAGAAGTATTGTAAACATGGACTGGTCCAGAATGGAAGAACAGGAAGAGAGTGTCTGTCAAATGCTGAGAAAGTTGATAGAGGGTACAATCTTGTACACTGTTTTGTTACTCCAGGTAACACCCATGTAGTTGGTTTTGTGTTATTGTTATTTTTGTTTTTCAATAAAGGGAGTACCACTTTATTTACCAGGTAGCAAATTGTAGAAATTATGACACTAAGAAATGATATAGGCCCATAGCATAAATAAGCTTAAGGTATATAATTTATGTCTCTCCAGTGGATTAATGCAGGAAATTTGAAATAATTTGGTCATTATCTCCACTTTTTACTACACCCTCGGACTTGTAGAGGTTTTATGTATATAATAAGCACATTACTGTAAACATTAAAACAATGGTAACATAAAATGATACCCTCTCCAGACTGCCCATGAATGTACATTTCAGTTACAGAACACAGTACCTGTCCATGGCCCCAGTGGTTTTGTGTAAAGAAATCTAATTCCAGTCCTGCCACTAAAGAGATGTACAGTGGTGAGCAAGTTATTTTAAATTGCTGATCATATTTCCCTTGTTCATAAGATTAAAAATACTAATCTTCATCTCACTATTATTATAATTTTAAATTAAAAATACATCTTGCTGAAGCTAGTGAATCATCACCACATGTAGGGACTCTATGGATCTTCATCACTTCTCTCTGTGTTAAAAAAGAACCCCAGTGTGGGCGTGGTGGTGCACGCCTGTAATCTCAGCACTCGGGGAGGCTGAGGCAGAAGGATTGCCCTGAGTTTGAGGCCAGTCTGGGTGACATAATGAACTCAAGGATAGCCTGAACTACAGAGCAAGATCCTGTCTCTAAGTAAATAAATAAGAACCCTAGTAACATTGTGTTATAATTGCTATTCAATTTTACCATCCTTTGAAAATATTTCTAGACATTTCTTCTTCATTTCTTGTTTTTGTCATTGTATGGCCAGCCCTTGAACATTTTCATGCAAAATAGACTGCTTATCCAGACTTCAACTCATGTTATCATTGAATGTCTGTGGTATACATGTATGGTCTTGTTTTAAATTTCTTCAGTAATTGGTTGAATTTTTTATTAGCTATCAGCAACATTGGCTCAAAGGCGGTTCACATTGCTGAAATATTGCTAAGTGAATTGTGGGAAGCAATTTCCTTACCAAAAGTTTTGCTAATCTTTTTTTATATTATTATTTATGCTTTTTATGATGTGAGAAGGACTCATTCAGTAGGTGTTTTTCTTGGGAACCCAGTTCTTCTTAGGAATCTCCTGTTAGTATGATCTAAGTACTGTGGCACTTCTCAAATGACCAACTCTCTGTGATATTCAAAAGGAAAAATTTAACTTCCCCTGTATCTATTGTCAATTAAATGGTATCGTATTTCCTGATGGCTCAAGTTTAATGTACTGGTCAATTTCAAACTTAACTCATACATTAATCAGCAAAACAATAGGAGGGGAGCCCTGGTATTGTTTGGCTTGCCCCTCAATTTGACAGCATCAGTTTTAGCATATTTGGAATGATATTTCACAGAAATCCAAAACAATTCCATACGTTGGAAATGTGTCTTATCTCTTTATGTATCCTTCTAAAAATTAGTTGACACCCTGTGTTCTTATTGACAACTTTTTAACCTTGTATCGTTATAGAATCGTGTTTATCATTTGTGAAAAATAAAACATACAACACTATTTTTTAGTTTAGTTTAGTTTTTCCCCTTCTCTTCTACCACATCCTCTGATAATGATTTTCATGGGCTGGAAATACTGTAAGAGTAGAAATATTTAGTTCAATTTATTTTAAATGAAACTGATAGCTTCAGCAGTGATCTCATAACCTCAAAGCACTTTACACACTGAGTAATCATTAAGATGCTAAAATAGAGCAAATAACAATGTTTAAAGCCTTCACAGATAAATCCATATTCAAAACTTATTCTACCGCAAAGTAGCTTTGCTTTTGATGTATCTTTTAAAATCATAGATTTCTTGATGGAGGTATTGAGCTAGCTTTTGGTTTTCCCCTATGATATAGCCAGCCCTTGCCCTCAGGCTAGATCTCTCTCTTTTAGTCATTTTAGCATAGGGGCAGCAAGATGCTTTCATGAGGAGAGTTGTGATGTAGGTAGAGGTCTTCACTTAATTCTTTACACACTAAGTGAGCAAATATTTTATTTCTACCTTTAAAATAAGAATGATGATTATTGAGGTTTTCTGAATATAGCCTGCATATTAATATTCTAAAATA